TCTATTCCTAAATCTCCAGGTGAAGCATTATCTCACCCTGAGTGGAGGCAAGCAATGATTGATGAAATGTGTGCTCTTCAAAGCAGTGGTACCTAGGAACTGGTTCCTCTACCCACTGGAAAATCTTTAGTAGGTTGTCTTTAGCTTTATACAATGAAGGTTGGTCCATATGGTAAGATTGATCGTTTTAAAGCTCGCTTGGTAGCCAAGGGATACACTCAGATTTTTGGGTTGGATTATAGTGATACCTTCTCGCTTGTAGTCAAGATGGCATCTGCTAGACTTCTTTTAGTCATTGTAGCCATTCGACATTGGCCTCTTCATCAACTTGACATCGAAAATGCATTTTTACACGGTGATGTTGAAGAGGAAGTATATATGGAGCAACCACCTGAGTTTGTTGCTCAGGGGAAGTCATCGAATATGGTTTGTAGGCTACACAAGTCTCTTTATGGTCTTAAGAAATCTCCGAGAGCTTGGTTTGGCAGATTCAGCATTGTAGTATAATAATTTAGTATGGTCCATAGTGAAGCTGGCCATTCTGTCTTTTATAATCACTCAGTCCAAGGGTGTATTTATCTTATTGTGTATGTAGATGATATTTTCATAACTGATAGTGATGAGTCGGGAATACTCCAGTTGAAACAACATCTTTCAAATAAATTTCAAACAAAGGATCTTGGTAAACTCCGGTATTTCTTGGATATTGTGGTAGCCCAATCTAAAGATGGTTTGGTGATTTCTCAGCGGAAATATGCTATGTATATTTTGGAAGAAATGGGTTTGTTGAATGCTAAATTAGTTGATACTCCTATGGATCCAAGTGTCAAACTACTACCCAATCAGGGGGAGCCTCTACCAGACCCGGGAAGATATATGAGATTGGTTGGAAAGTTGAATTATCTCACAGTCACTCGTCCAGACATTTCTTTTGCAGTTAGTGTAGTAAGCCAGTTCTTAAATTCCCCTTTTCAAGAACACATGGATGTTTTTATTCGGATTCTAAGATACATCAAATGTGCTCCAGGAAAAGGTTTAGTGTATGAAGATAAAGGACATCCTCAGATAGTTGGATACTCTGATGTTGATTGGGCAGGATCACCAATTGATAGACGGTCCACCTCTGGGTATTGTGTACTTGTTGGAGGAAACTTTATATCCTGGAAAAGTAAGAAACAAAAATGTAGTTGCAAGATCAAGCGCCGAGGAAGAGTATAGGGCCATGGAAATGGCAACATGTGAACTCATTTGGTTAAAATTATTGTTCAAAGAACTTAAAATTGAAGAAGCAAGACCAATGACACTTGTATGTGATAATCAAGCTGCATTGCACATTGCTTCAGATCCAGTCTTCCATGAGAGGACAAACATATTGAGATAGACTGCCACTTTATCAGAGAGAAGATTGAATCTGGCGACATCGCCATAAGTTTTGTCAACTCTAATGATCAATTGGCAGATGTGTTTACAAAATCTCTACGAAGCCCCAATACTAATTATATATGTGGAAAGCTTGCTGCATTTGACTTATATGCTCCAGCTTGAGGGGGAGTATTGATATTTGTAAATATATAATGTTAAGAATACTTGTATGTAGAATAGTTCCACATCAATTATATAGTGTAATTAGTTGTAATCTTTCTATATATAATAAAATCTCCGTAGTGCTTTCATAACACACGGTTTAACCTAAATGTCTCTTAGTCTCTCTTAATTCAATAGTTTGGAACCACGACGTTTCTGGATCTTTAAATTTGAAGGATGCATATGTTTTCAAAGATAAGCTTCAGCTGAATCTTTTTTGTCCTAAGATAATATGGTGCAACGATATTCCTCCTAATAAGGCTATGTTGGTGTGGAGAGTCTTGCATGATAAAATCCATGTTGATAGTCTGCTTAAAAACATAGGCATCTCTTTGGCCTTCATGTGTTTCCTTTGTAAGTCCAGTGAAGAAACTACAAATCACCTTTTTTTCCAGTGCAATTTTACCATTTCTATTTGAGTCTGGTTTAAAAGAAAGGTTAACATCAGCTCAAATCCTACTTCTACGGATCATTGGCTAAATTGTTGTAAATGGGCTAAAAGAAATCAAGCTTCCCTTGTTCTTAAAGCTACAGTTATTCTCACCATCAACCAGATTTGGTCTTCTAGGAATAATTGGAGACACAATAACATTATGCAAAGTAAAAACAAGTCGATAAACGGGATCATGTCGAATGTAAAGATGTTTGGAAACAACTCTACTAATGCCACTGCTATTTCCTTGTCGGATTTCATCATGATAAAAGATTTTGATGTCATTATTCATCCTTCTCGAGCTCCTAAGATTCGCGAGGTTCTGTGGAGTCCCCCTTCTTTTGGTTAGCTAAAGTGCAACTGTGACAGATCATTTAATCTTGTTACTAAGGCAGCTGGTTGTCGAGGGATTTTCATGAATCACTTGGGTGATTTCATTCTTGTTTTTGCTGAGAACATTACTTCGGGGTCGTCGGTGTTTGCTGAATTTTCTGCGGTTCTTAAAGATACTGATATAGCGATTTCTCGTGGTTGGAGAAAGATTTAAATCGAAATAGATTGTAGTATGATTGTTAAAGTTTTCTCCACCCTGTTTTGGTTCCTTTGAAGCTTTTTCATAGGTGGTAAAGAAACTTGAATCCATCTAATATTACTAACCTAATCATCACTCATATACACAAGGAGGGAAACTCTTATACTGATTTTTTTGACTAATTTAACGTTCAACACAAGTTCTACCGTTACTTTTGACTCATTCCTATTGTAATTATGGGAGATTTTTGTAAAGAATATGTTAGTTATATATTTCTTTAGATTTGATAGATTTTGATGGGGCTAACCTAGTTCCCTTTTTTTAGATTCGCGTTGTATCTTTTTCTTTATCGATATATGAACCTTTATTAAAAATAAAATAAAATTTATTGACTCTCTTTAACTTAAGAGATTAATTTACTGTTCCATAAATTTCCCAAATGAAATTGCTCGATTCATGTGATTTTAAGATATAAAACGTTGACTTATCGAAGAAAACAATTTTAAAAGTGTTATCCTAAAGTCCTAGTGTCCTTCTTGCTTGTTTCTGTAATCCTTGTATTATATTTCGGGCTTGTCGCACCCTACACCAGTCACATCCCACAACAAACAGTTGTTTGGAACACACAATTAAAATAACGCAAGGGCGTGGTCTCGCTCGTCCCTGCCACTTGACAATAAACAAGAATAATCATTTCCTAACTTCTAATAGCTCTTTATTATTAACCAAACAAAGTGCACCACTACTTTCCTTTGATCTTAATTTTCTATAGAAAAGAACAGGTATCTCTATCTTTTCAGCATATAGATGTTGTGATTTTGGTGTTTGAGATATTTCAAATGTCATCCTACAAGTCCCAAACATAGACTACCTTTCAGAGCTTTTGAGTCTTTAATACCAATGATTGGTTATAGCCTGCAAGAATGAACCCACACATGTTCCCGAAAATCGGGCCAACGACTTGATTTCATTGTAAATCTTCTGGTTTCCCTCGCATTGGTAACTGTTTGTGCTTTCGTTTGTTGTTGCCGACATCAATTCACAATACTAATTTTACCCTACCAGTACCACATAGTAGATAAGTATCAGAATCATTTGAAAACCGTACTCAGAGACCACCTATCTATACTACATCAACTAAAACTAGTGTGCATTATTAGTGATTCCCCAACAGCACCTGTACTTTCTGCCTGAGGACTATTTGCTGCAATGGTTTAGGAATTGAGTCTTTAAAATGCTTAGCAGGCTTTTCGGACGTGCTCTTGCTCAGGTATATTGTTAGGGCCATAAACCCACTCATGTTTTTCAGTAAGAGCATCATTAGAGCATGTTTTATTCAGATTGCTAAAGTTTATGACAGAATTATGTAACTGTTAATTTGTTTTACCAGTGGAGTTGGTTTCTGATTTTGACAGTAAGATACTAGAAACCTAACACGGCGTACGGTATTCAAAACAAACAAGAGCGTGGACATTATGGTTGATATTATTGTTTTGCTTCTATAAAATGAAAGTTTGTTTGTAATCAAGTTCAACATTTGACAATGTAGTTTACCATTTCTGTTCCCTTATATAATACCTCTGTCATTATTTTGGCTTCTTTATGCAGTCACTTGTGTGGTTAAAAACAAAAGTATGTCCTATATGGGCCAACATTATTTCATATATACTTTTCTATGCCGCTTGTAAGGGTCACGAAGAAAAACCCAATAACAAGTGTCGCACGAAAAGTTATGTGAAGCAGGTGGGACCTCACTCCGCACAAATCCGATCTCCAACACATTTTCTACCGTTGGATCTAATCAGACAGCAACCCGCGTGGGACGCCAGATCTCACGAATAAGGCTTTAACTACTCACAGTATAAACTCAACACGCGTCATTTCAAGCATCCTCTCATTCATACTCTCAAACTACTTTTTCACCCATTCACTGACTTAGGTTGGAGTGTTAACTTTGCCGCTCCACCCTCGCATCGCCGTACCGGAAGCTCACTTTACTGCACTGGAACTCATTCCATTCGATCTCTACCTATTTCCGGTTCCAGTTCATAGCATATACCATACAAATCAAAAGATAGGTTGGGCTTGCAAGAGTTTATAAAAACACATTGGGCTTGCAAAGTTGCAAGAGTTTATACATTATAAGCTGCTTACTGTTCACAGAAATTCGGTTCACCCAGGTTTTGCCTTATAACTCATAGGACATTAAAGTAGCTATGCCAAGCTACTTTAATGGGTGAGGATCATGATTGCAGATTATAACTATAAAAATTAACGAATAAAGATAAAAATATACTCAAAGGTTGAACACTACTAAGAGGCTCCAAATATAGTGTTGATCAAGAATTGACAGATAAATCAAAGTTAAAAGAACCTTTACAAGCTCCTCAAAAGACATGAGGATGTGCTGATTGAGAATGATTTAACTCCTAAATCTAGTTACTATTCACCTCAAGTTGGGGTTTTAGACCCATAGTTTGTTGTTGTGAACCAATTGTAGCTACCATTATCTTCAAAACTAACAGCAAAAAGCCAGAGATTTTTCTTCATCTTGCCAATATTCCTTGAAATCCTGTATTTGAGTAGCTCCAATGCTGCAGAAAACAATCCTTTACCATCAACAATAGAGCTTTTTTGATATTCAAGAATCCAAGTGTTAGGATCTAGTTGAACTACTGAGGCACCCCATTCTTGTTGTATCCATGAAGTATTGGCCTTTCTAATCAAATAGCTAACTTGTCCATCTTTCCACTTTAAAACAGAAACACAACAACATGAAGTTAGTCAACAATAACATATGTATACATACAGACCCCTTCCCTTAGATTGAGGGCGTGTCCAACCCGTCTTGGCCTGTGAAGCACTGACAAAAACACTCACACAAGACAGTACACAGATAATGACACATCGACAACACCAATAGTAATTTCAAAAAATGAATAAAGTGTAAGTAACCACATGTGTACAGGTGTCGGGTCAAATACTTAAGAAACCACACACCAGACTCATGTATAGGCGTCGTGTCGGTTACTTATGAACACACCACACACCAGACACATGTATAAGCGTCGTGTTGGACACTTACGAATACATCACATACATATTTGTTCAAAGGTGTCAGTGCTACATATGTGCTTTGGTGTCCGACACATTCACATAAACATACACGGATCCATTAAATCATTCTCAAATCATTATGTTCTGTCAGTGTTTTCGATCAATGATAAATTGAAACTGAAAGCATTTTGCAGAATTTAATTTACCTCAGTAACTCTTCCTGATAAGATAGCTAGGGTTCGAGAAGATATCCCGGTTGTGATCATTCCAGCTGTTTGTAGAGGCCACCCCCAAATTGTAACCTCCTCCACTGCTGATTTGTACAATTTGCACCTTGAATTCAATAACAGACCATCCTATACACAATTTTTAAAGCGAAATTAAAAAATTCATACTTTTTAACAAATCAATAAACTTTTTTCAATGAATAATCCAAAAATTACAATACCTGGCTAATTTCCCATGAGCCATCAGTAAAACTACAGTTTGAAACTTCTCCATGAACAACATTCCCCAATTCATTCTGCAAAAACCTCAACTTTCCATTCAAATCTCGAATTTGATAACATTTCTCACCAACCCTTTTCACCAAATCCGGCGACAAAGAAGGCTTATAAACCACAGAAACAACCCTTGACAAAACAACATCAGCAAACACAAGAAACCCCAAAACAATCACCACACTCAACACACCAACCCCACAGTAAAAAGACCTCTTTTTCCCCTCTTTCTTCATCTCCATTCTCTGAACATGATTCGATTTCGCACTTGATTTGACGACAGGAGTCGACAGCGGCGCTATACAGCTAGAAGGCTTTCTTGGAGTGTTGAAAATGGAAGAATCAAAGGTGATTGGAGAGTAGCTATTGACATTGGGTTTGGAAGAAGAGAATTTTGTTAGGGAGCTATTGGGTACGAGGTCAAGGGTTGCGTTGATGCTGGCTATACAAAATTCACAGTCACAGTTGGCGTTTTTCTTGCAACCATTGTAGTAGCAGCTGTTTTCACCATTTTCTTCTTCTTCTTCATTGCTGATGGCAGATTTTGTTTCTTGGAAGTGGAATCTCATGGTTTCTTGAATTGATTCTTCAGATTTTTTTTTCTTGTTCTTGTGTTGTGGATGTGTTGAAATCGTTAGAAGTTTGATTTATGAGGTGAAATTTGAAGTTTCAATGTTTCATGTAGAAGTTTGAATCACAAGCCCAACGGTCGTATCGGTTTGTGGATCCGTTTTTGTGGGAATTTGAGAATGATAATCTTAATCAGTGTATTTTTTTTTTTATAAAATGTATTTAGTTAATGTTTATTACATTTTCAAAATTATTTGTAAAAGTTGGATTATAGGTAGATATTTAAATTTTATTTCCATTTTTTGGAAATTATTTATACTCATCAATTACATTGAGAATGTGAAAGTTATTTTATACTCTTGAATTAATTTTATAAATTTGAAATAATATAATTTTTTTTATAATATCTATATTCATGAGAGTAAACTTTACTGAATAAATAGAAGAGATTGTGAAACAAACACTTTCTTGAATATTTGTGTGATTGTGAATTGGAATTTTCTTTTAAAATTTTATAATTATATATAGAAGGTAGTTTCTTTGTGATGTACCACATGCCGTATAGAAATTTTGCAAATAGATAGAGGAAAAAATATGTTGTGAGTTGTTTGTTAGATTATATATAATGGTTTACATATTTAATTTTTTATTTATTTTTTATATTGTATGTTATATTTTTTATGTTCTACCTAATAATTCAATAATTATTAATTTTTATTTATTATGATGATTTTGTTAAATAAAATTTAACATTCTATTTCACCATTTTTTTTAATTTTTTTTTATATTTTTGTTTTTTTTTATCACCCTAAATATCTACGGTACGCCGCATAAATCTCTTTTAAAATCTGTATATTTTGGCTATAAAAAGGTGTATACAAAAATAGACGGTGAAGATGAGAAAAGAAGTATTTTTTACAATTTTTACACTCGTCGCAGTTGCGAACCTTTAATGTCTATGTACCACCTTTCGTATAATAGGGAATCAGGGTACTCGTAATTCACCTCAAAAATTTTAAAGCACGTGTGTGTTGGTTAATTTTAAGAGAAGAGACATCATCATCATATCCGAGTGGAAAACATACTTACTACCAACAATTATGCGAAAGGAGAATTTACATCATCATCTCAAAGTGGAGGATATAACATAGATTTTAAAATCAACAAAGTCTCACTCAACACCCAAGTGGAAAATATCTCACTTCATTATATATCGTAGAAGTATAATAGCTTGCATCACTACAAGAATCGACAAGAGTATAATCTTTTGAGAAATGTTTTAAAGTAAAAAGGCAAAGTGGCAAAATGGTTTGAATGAGGTTAATTTATTTTTAGTCTTGAGAAAGATGTCAAAGTATGATTAAATTGATTAAAGTTTGATTAAGAAAAGATTTTTTGAAAATGCATGGACATAGTCCAAGTTTATGATGAAAGCGGTTCAAGTTAGAAAACAAGAAGAGTTTTAAAAATGAGGAAGAAGATTTTTGAAATTAAAGAAGATAGGAGGATATGAATGGACTATCCTAAAGCATAAGGTAAAAGCTAAGGAAAAGAATGGTCTAACCAACAAGAAGCCAACACTTGACATAAGAAGTCAATCTAGAATTCTCATCCTTTGGATTGAAACCAAGCAAGCAAAAATACTAAACCTCTGAGGAATATCAAACTTCAGATGAATTAAGAACCAAGCAAAATCTTCATTGACAAAAATTGGCCAGAGTAACAACTATATACAAAGGAGTTTTCAATCACAGACAAAGCATGAAAATCAGAATAACCTACATACACAAAAAATTCTAACCAATTCCTTGGAGTAAACCCCGAGGATTTTAGAAGATCCTCACAAAAATATCAACCAAAGATCACAAAGTTCCAAGGTCTCATGGCTTCTAATCCTAAGTCTCAAGAATCCACAATTCTACAGTGCTAGGGATAGTAACCAGATAGTCCAAGTAATCTTAAAGCTTTTAATATTCAAGTTGATTATTAAGTGTCTTTAAAAGAAAAGAAAGCTCAAGTGAGCAAAGAATTTGACATAAAAATAAATGCTCAAGTGAGCAAAAGAAAAAAAAATGACATGAAATTTAAATGCTAAAAAAAATAAACGGTACATAAAAGTAAAGGCACAAAATAAAGGCATAAAGTAAAGTTAATTGTTAGTGAATTAGAAGTTAGAGGTTAGTTGAATGACCATCTTGAAGCTTGCTTTTGAAAACTCATTAGAAGATTGATAAAATCAAAGCTTCTCAACAACAAGTTTCATTTACTTTTTGTCAAGTATATCATTCATTCCAAGTACTCAAGGTAACACATATGATCAACGATGTTCAAATGATTCACTTAAACCAAAATTCATGAAGTTCATTAGAGGATTGATAGAATCAAAGCCTCCTAACAATGAATTTCAAAGTTATTGGATCAAAGGTTTCAAATTAAACATACTTGGGCTTACAAACATAGGTTTGGGCCACAAATAATTATTTTTCGAATCGGGACAAATTTAGTGCTATATTAAGTAATCGTAAGTGGATTTATATAGAAGTCACACCTATTTTGAGGTTGGTAAATAGCAATCTATATATCAAACATGTTAGAAAAATGATATGTAGATCGTTCTCCAAAAACATGTAGCACAAGTAAAAACAAGAAAGCGATAAGATGAAGAGGAAGAGGAAAGATAGTATAACCAATGTATCAGATGAAATTAGGGTTTCAAATATCATCAACATCATTAATCCATTTTGGTGGATTTAGTTTTTGAATCTATCAACACCTAAGATCCAATGAAGTTGAAGAACTTGTCCCAAAATAACATCCAAGTGTCTCCAAATCAGGATCCAACACAAAATAATAAAACATATTTAATATAAAACAAATTTTAAATGATTTAAAAAGAAAATAATTGGTAAGATACACAACATGTATTAAAATATCAAATAAAAATCTTTAAAAATATAAGAGGTCAAACATGAGTTGACAAATTTTTTTAGAATTTTATAAAGTCAGAAACTATTTTTAAAATATAAAGAAATAAGAAAAATAAGCTAAAATTTGTGAAAAATAGTAAAATCAAAAATAAAAATAAAATGAGGTCACCAATATTTAAAAGAATGTCATTGGATCCTTCCATATTTTTTTCCAGAATTTAAAAATCAAGAAAATTATTTTTAAACAATTAAAACAAGTCAAATAAAGTGAAAAATCATAAAAAATACCAAATCAAAAAATAAAATTGTGAAAAAATAAGAATCAGAAAGATAACATTTAAAAAAAATTGTGAATTTTTTCATAATTTTCAAGTCAGAAATGAATTTTTTATGAGTTTTTGAAGTTTAAAATAATTAAAATAAAATTTACAAAATAAAATAATAAACCAAAAAAATGTGGATCATCTGATTATTGTCAAAACGCGTTAGTAATCAAGTCCAAAGGATCTGGCGCACTATGCATGATATTGACATTAGTGAAGAAACCACTGAATCATTTATTTTTAAAACAAATTTGAAAAACCAAGTGGCGCTCTGTATTGGTTGAAGATGACACGCTGGTCGTCTTCAACCTCCAGCCACACACGAGTTGCAGGTTTCGCAAATAGAAAAATTAGAGGTCCAGACCGGTGCCATATGATTCGTCTGATCAAGACGAAGACAACTGTACCCTCGCGAAAAATTTATATAACCTATAGCTCACTCGATTTGGAAAAAAAAACAGAAGAAAAAGTGAAAACGAGTTTTGAAATTAATTGATCAATTATCCAAGAAAATGGAAATCATAAGAAGCATGAGCTTCGGAGAATAAGAGACTACATCTTAGTAATTTATTTGAAGTGAAATGGTGGAGAATTCTACCTAAACGAAGTTTGAGAATTTTGCTCTGAAACTTGACTTGGCTAGCACGATTTATAGCACTTCAAGGCTTGGTTCTTCTTCTGTTAGCTTCAGTAGAGTTCAGTGATGAAGAATCAATCAAGAAATAAGATTTGGAAGTGAAGGAAAAGAGAAATAAAAAACTCATAAATGTGAGCTATGGAAAGAGTTTAACAGGGTAATTTTTGTTGTTCAAGCTTGAAGAAATAAATGGAATAGCATCCTCTACTTTTAGGGAAGTGAATGATGATGAGAAAGGAGAGTAATGATGCTCAAATCGTGTAAACCAGGCTAATCCGCAAGGTGTGAAATGTGTGACTTGCACATGTTCAAAACTCACTCTAATTTTTCGTTTTATGTGTCTAATAACTTCTCTAAACTTGATAATGATGATTAGAAACAAAAACACACTCTTAAAGGGCTTGTAATGAGAGTTTCGATTCTAACCAAAACTCAAAATCATTTTTCATGATGCTCACTTCCAAAACATGGGGCAAGCAACTCAAGAGGCTTTATGATCTCATTCCTTTTGCATTATAAAGATCTCATCACAACCTTTACAATGTGCCAAGAAAGGTAGCATTTGATGATCTGAGCTAAAAGTTATTCATGTTTGAAATAAAGAAAAACACACAGGTATTTGACACTTAGAAAAATTCTAATTATGGAGCCTCAAAATAACCTATAATGTTCTTCAAAATTACATGCCCTTCCACTCAAAATTTGATCTTGATCCTTGAAGATGAAATGCGGTAGACCCTTTTAATTGAATTGTGGAATTGAGATCATTCAAAGATCATAAAAAAATGAAAGAGTTATGGTCTTTGGAAGATGATGAACAAATTTGGGGAAATTCACAAAAGACCTATAATCTTTTCAATTCTTTAATGACTTTCCAAATATTTTTAAGTCTTGCATATTGAAACAAAGTTGTAGTAGACATCCTCAAGTTTATTATTAAAAAAGAATAAGCTCAAGGAGATAAAAATTGACTAAGTTATGATCCTTTAAAGTTACACAAGAGAATTTGATAGCCTTCCCAAAGGACTTGTAATCTTCTTCAACCATTAGTGATATTCCACTCAAAATTAGCCTTAAACCCTTGAATATAACTTGTTAAGTACCATTTAAAG